CTTAACCAATGATTGCTTGTTCAGCCTTGGAAACACAGGATCTTCTGTTCTGGTTACTGGAATAGCCACTAGCAAGCAATAGCAATCATTCAAAATTAGAAGAACAGTTCAGCTTTCTACGGTGGGCAAACTTAACTAACAGCCTGCATGCTTACATGGAAATAACTCCTAATGTATTGAAGAGATGCTCTCAGTTAAAATTGCTTTGGAATGAAAGTTTAAATTGCTTTTCCATGAATTAAAATGTAGTTATTTATTATTTAAATGTACGGGGACACATGCATACCATAAATCTTAGAATTTTCCTTCTGCTAATGTCATAAAAATCCTTAATACCAAACAATATTAAACCCAAATTAGCATGTATGAAATGTTTAGATGGCCATTTAGGTGTGTGGAGAAAAATCCAGGCTGGGATATGACATAGATAGTTAAATTATTTTAACAAATGAGTTATAACCTGCTTACACAAAAGCAGAATTTCCAAGAATTTACATACAGATTAACAGAGTTGGAAGGGACCTTGTAGGTCATCTAGTCCAATCCCCCACCCAAGCAGGAGACCCTACACCAGAAGTCCCCAAACTTGGCAACTTTAAGACTTGTGGACTTCAACTCCCAGAATTCCTCAGCCAGCTATTTTTTCACTATGCTCTTTAACTTTCATTACAGAGTTAGTAGACCGTTTTCATTTTACAGTAGTGTTATCAGCATAGCACAGGTTATTGATTTTTCATCCTTGAATATTAAAACCACACTCATCTTCCAATGAAGCTTCTCTTAATATAACCTGAGCATAAGGGTTGAATAAATAAGGTGTATACCCTTGTCTCATTCTTTTGTCTATCTAAGCCAGTTTGTTTTGCAATGTACCATGCAGACTATGATATCCTGGCCTGTTTACAGTCACTACCCTGACTCTTGCGCAAGGACTCTGTGTTCGCGCAGCCCATTTCCCTTCTCCCCCCAAGCTGGGCCACCAAGCCACAAAGGTTGGGGATTGTTGGTATAGTTAGATTACCACTATAGCAAGGGAAAAAAACCTTGCTTTTATTATTATTATTTTGCATAACTAATGTAAATCCACAGTTTTACCATTAAATCCTAAAGTCAAGGAAAAAAAACAATAAGAAAGAGAAAGACAGATAAGGTCCACAGATTAAATATCTTCAGAATATTTTATTGTTCAAAAATATTAGTTTAACTATTGTACCCAGCCCTAATTTAATAGAAGAATCAAAGACTGATGAAACCCTGTTGCATTCCAAATGATATTGGTGTTTCACATTGATGGTATTAACATTTTCAAGCAAAAACCAAGTTCAGAAAAGATAAAGAATTTCACAGTTCAATTCTGAGTTACAGGTATTCTCTTCTTATCCATTGAATTGCTATACCACTGAGTTCACATTTAAGTAGTGTATTAATCAGAATGTCACTGTTTTGACAAATGCTATTATTCCCACTATCAACTAAGAAAGTTGACACAAAATTAATCTTGTGCAAGATTTATTCTTAATTAATCTACTCTAACTTCTAGTAATTATTGCATTGTTTTCAAGATATTTGTATAATGATTGCTTTTTTTATCTGCTTTACAATTTTCTCAATTTACACTGGCTTGGATTATCTTTTTAAAAAAGGGTAACTATCTACCTTTCTCCCATCTTCTAGAATTTCACTCCTTCTCCATGATTTTTCAAGAATGATACCCACAATTTCATTCATTCAGGATGTTAGAATTCAATTTGTTTTATCCTGGAGTTCTGAATTCATTTCAGGAAATAGCTATTCCTTGCCTTCTATGGCTAACAGTAGTGAGAGTTGTAATCTAACAGATGCTGAAGGCATCAGACTGGGGGAGGCTGCTTTGGACTAACCATTTACCCAAGATTGAAGGATTGAAGCATTGAAGAATGTCAAATACAGGTCATGCTGGCTAGGAGAATTATAGGAGCTGAAGTCCACACATCTTAATGTTGCAGAATTTTAGAAACAGTGCTTTAGAATGTTGACGTTTAAGTCTGACAGAATCAATTGTGAAAAGGAAAATGTAACTTTCCTCACTTGATCTTAATCGTCTTACTTCTTTATCCCAGCACATTGAAACTTTCCAGGGAGCTATTGATTATTAATAAATTGTAAAATCTTACTAGCGATAGGGATGAAATCATTTCTTCAGGAATCTGGGAAAATTATAGAAATTATCTTTGGCACTTTCAATGCTGCCTGAACAAACATAGTTTTAATAACATTTTTTGAGAGGGATTGCAAAAAGGGTTGATTTCACAACCCTTGCAGCTATTTGTCTTTAATATTTATATCTGCAGCCCACTAGAGGGAACTGCTGGCTCTCTGAAGAAGGAGAGTTGTGAGCAGTAAAAACAGCCAAATTCTTTGGCTGCAAAATGCACTCTTTGTTTCTTGTGTGAAATCAACAAGGTGAGCAAGTGGTTTTGTTTTATTTATTTATTTATTTATTTATTTTATTTGGTTTGTCAATTGCTTACAAGATAATAGGTATAAGTAAATACATAGTTATGAATACATGGATACATATAACAAAAATAAAAGAAAGAATAGGACAGGGACGGTAGGCACATTGGTGCGCTTATGCACGCCCCCTACAGACCTCTTAGGAAACGGGTGAGGTCAATAGTAGAAAGTCTAAGGTTAAAGTTTTTGGGTTTTGGGGAAGAAACCACAGAGTCAGGTAGAGTATTCCCGACATTGACCACTCTGTTGCTGAAGTCGTATTTCCTGCAATCAAGTTTGGTGCGATTAACCTTGAGTTTGTTGCTAGTTACCCATTTCCAATGAGTGTCCTTACACTCCCCCCCATACACATTCCCCTAAAACCTCACCCATATAACCCTTTCTCTCTGCTCTCCACCTTGTTTTCCCAAGTGTCTCCTACTTTTCTCTCCTTACATATGCACCTCCACCCTTTCCCCACTTTATGCCTTCTACTCTCCACCTCATTATGATGATTCAAATAGGTAGGTGTACCACACTTTTTTATGCCTTTCTGGCCAATTGGCTTTTTTACCATCTCCTTTGTTCTGATTTTATGTCCACCCATTCTTTGAACTCTCCATTTACCTCACTATCTACTCCTTCAATTGCCTTTATCTGTTTTGGAGCATTGCTCTTATTATGCACGTATTATGCAGATATTCAAGTGACAAAGTAAACGCACATGGATATCTTAGTGACAGGCCAGATGTGGTATTCAGCATGTTCTGACCCGTTCTGGAGCACCTGTAGTGGAAATTTTGAGTAGTTTGGAGAACCGGCAAATACCACCTCTGACTGGCCCTGCCCCCATCTATTCTCTGCCTCCCAAATCCCAGCTTATCGGCTGGGTCTTCTTTTGTTATCCTGCACAGGAGAACGGAGCTGGAAAGTAGGTTAGTGGGGTGAGGAGGAAATGGGATTTTGCAGTAACCTTTCCCTGGAGTGGGGTAGGAATCCTTCCCCTGCCATGCCCACCAAGCCACACCCACTAAGCCATGCCATGCCCACCAAGTCATACCCACAGAATCGATAGTAAAAAAAAAACTTGAATCCCAGCACTGTGACAGGCATACATTATTCTGATTCTGCACAGGAAAAGAGACCCTGAGAGGGCTTTCTTATGCTACAATATAATTCTTCCTTTTACCCAATCAGAATCATCTATAATGTCCCTTAACTCATCAGTATTATCCTTTGTGCTGCCTTTTCAATTAAAGGAGCCTGTTACCATTGTAATTTAAGATACATGTTTATTTATCTGATAAATTACTGTAAAATATTGCTCTACGGGGCAGGAAATATCCTTTGACAAAGTGTCCCTCTGTACAACTTGAATCTCTGCTCTCACTGGTACCACCATTGTAATTTCCCATCCACACCTCAAAATTTTGTTATAGCGGAGGTATTGTAGAAAATTACTGTGTCAGATAGACTCAGATTCCCAATATTGCTTAGAGTGCTAGGGCAGATTTTTTTAAAAAAGGCCAGAGGACAGGACAACCATCAGCAATGAGTCCCAAATCTCAGCAACATGTCCAAGATATGAAGTGCACTATTACATGTGATAACAAGGATGGATAATATAGTAGAACAAAAAACATGGTGTTTTTTTTATCCTTACCCCACCAACAATGATCAGGTGACAAGACAGACTAAACTCTCTATGATAATAAGAACTGCTAATGGTGACCCATATTCTCTCTCTCTCTCTCTCTTGCTATTTCTATATTTCAGCTGCATGTAACACCCCTGGTTTAAAGGCATAAAACTATGTTCTGGTACAATCTGCATACCTCTATTAATTGAAAGAGCAATCTTCTACGATAGGATAACTCTTTTCAAAGAATAGTATCAAGTAGTCGGCATTCGGTCCAGTTGCTTGCAAACTAAGAATAGAAGTGGTTCAAACACATGTGGAAAGGCTGTTCTATATCCTTGGTCTGGTATTGAAATATAAGCTTACAATCAGGCTCTCTATTTGCTTATTAGCAACATCTTCACATCTTACATACAACAGAGATTGTATAGTTTCACTGAATCCCATAACTTTGTCTGAAAGGAAGTGTTACTGAACTAAATGGAGCCGATTTCTGAATGATCATGATTAGGTTTGAATTGATAAAATAAAACCAATGGCCCCTTTAACTAGCGAGCTGAGCCGATCATTTTAAAATATAAAAGTCAAATGTATTTGTTGAGATTGTTGATGTAGCTTTTATGATATTTAAAATAGTATTAAAATACTCAGCATTAGTACTATTAAATGACGTAAAGAAAGATTGTGTGTGTGTGTGTGTGTGTGTGTGTGTGTGTATACGCACACACAGAGCTGCCAGAGGCCTTTATGTCTGACTGAAAACATTTAAAGCTCCAATACAAAACAGGAAAGGGAAACCATTTGGTCCAAGTCTTCAAACTCAACCTTAATTTTTTTTTGTTGCAAAGCATTTTTGTTCCTCTCTTTCCTGTCTGTTTGTCAACAGATGTATGCCGGAGGGAAGCTGCTTTTTGGGAGCTGTGTTTTCAACGGATACAGCTACAGTAAGAAGGACCTGCTGAAACAGATCAACCAAGTTTGCCTTGACTGCAAAAGAGGTCACTTCCTGCCACAGAGCTTCAAATTTAGGTAAAATAGAAAATCAAGGAGGAAAATAAGAATGGGGAGAGGGAAGGCAATATCATGCTGAGATGTATGTTTACAACATTAACTTGACAAAATTGTGTTGCAATGAATAGAATGAAATTCTATAAACTCATTGTAGGGTGAGTGACCAGGAGTAGAGGAGAAGGGGAGGATAATAATAATAATAGTAATTTGGTAGCATATTTGTTCTTGTTATGGTTAATGGTTTTAAAAATTGGTCTCTGAACATATTCAGAATTTAATTTAAAAACATATTCCAATTGTTACTTCCTGCATAACCTAATTTACAATTTTGTCAAATCTTCTTCCCAAGCAGATTTCTTGAAGTGATCCCCCTATACTTTTTATATCTACTCTGTCTCCCTTTCCCCTTTGCATAGGGAATAATAATTGCATTCTTATAGTCACATGACACAGAAACAATTTTCATATACCTGGTTTAAGGTACCTCTAGTCCTGCTTTAGCTATGAAAGCCAGCTGGATGACCTTGAACCAGTCACTCTCTCTTAGCCTAGCTGACTTCAGAGGGTTCTGGTTGTGGGGACAATAGGAGGAGGAAAATGTGTGGGATATGTTCGCCACCTTGAGTTTTTTGTAAAAATAATAAGGGCAAGATACAAATAAATAAATAAAAAGTAAAAAAAACAAGTTGCACAGTTCATGAGCCAACCCGTATCCTTATTTTCAAACTACACCAATAATACCAGCTACACCAGTAGCTGTACCACTTTTCAACACTGATGAAATGTAAGAGATTCTTTGCATCACATTTTTCTGAGGTACTAATGATTATAACCTTCATATCCAAAGTACTATTCAATTTGAACCTTTAATATCTCACTAATATGTTTATATAACTGAGAAAGTGGAAAGCAAAGCATATTGGGTAGAGTTGCAGCTGCCATTTTGGCTTTTATTTTACCTCCATGGATGCCGCTGAGTCTGGGGAAGATGCAGTTAAGGAGAGGTATCTGCTTCTATTTAACCTGGCAAATATGCTGCAGGCTGGCTTAATCCCTCCAATCCCTGGACATAGTGACTTGCAATTTTCCCCTGGTTGTGAGAGAAATCGCCCACCTAGCTTCCACATTTTCTTCTTTTTTTTCTTTCTCCCCTCCCCCAATTAAAATATTAACCTGGTGGGTTAGGGTTAGCCATGGAAACAGTGCTTTCCCGAGGAAGGCATCCTTCTAAAACAGAGATCAAAAAAGTCTTGTGCTTGCCTCATTAATATCACTCTAATAGCGACGCTATCATTATTTTCATTGAGCAGGATGTTGATATAGGAGTCAGGATGATGAAAGAGCATTTTAGATGTCCCTCAGTTGCATTTAGACTCTCTTTCATACCAAAGCCACTTCCTTTGCCCCCTTCAGGAACTTGCTGAGCCAACTGGATGGGCCACCTGCAATGCAATTAACAATCAGGTTAGCTTTGTTATCTACCAAAATCACATTGAAATGGCAGGCATTTTTAGCTTAGAAATATAAAATGAATCCAAGAAAGAAAGAGAAACCAGAGAGTTTTCCTCCTTGCCATCAAATAACAAAGATTTTATAGGTAAGGAAATAAAAGGGAAACCAAAAGGGAAACAATGCAGTAGGGAAAACCCCAAACTTGTTTCTTATCTGCTCTAATCAAATTTTTTGTTGTTGTGTTTATTGTTCTCCCTTTCAATACTTAATGGGTCTTTAAGGGTAAATATACTAGACTTTGTGGGATTCTTTCTATGCCATAAACAAACCTTAGTACGGTATTAATCAGATAGCAGCAAATGTAGCATCCTTGCTGTCTCAAATTCCTGATAGGAATTTGAAGAGTGAGATCTTCATAATTAAGAGGAGAGCCCCACTGTTTTGTTCCATTCACTCTGAATATAGTGTTGATCTCATATACTGGAAAGTAGGTATTTGTAGGCAAAACACACAGAACTCAGGAAAAAAGTTACAGTTTGTGGCCATGATGCTCTGAGTCATACAAGTTCTGTTCTGTTTTTATTTTTTAGTAGAACTTTGTTATTACTCTTTTATGATTGTTATTACTGACTGAGTCAAAAATTCCAGGAATCAGTAAATTCTGTGCTGATAACAAGATTCCTCAGTGTGAACTGGAGAGAAGAGGAAGCATTTTATGTGTCACCGGAATTTGCTTGTGGTTTTGCTAACATTTACTGGTTCTCCAACATCAAAATAACTAGGAAACGAGGAAGCATTTCAGAACCCTTGTTTGCAACTATTCATTCTCTCTCTGCAATAGTCTCGGTACACACACAAAAAAGGTGGGAATTAATGGCCTTTCTTGCTGGCATTTTCCAAGGTCACAAGTTCTTAAGGCTTTTTAAATAAAAACTTTTAGGACTGAGAATCTAATTGTCTGGTTAACATTTAAAAACAGGTGCTACCAATTTGATCTTGTCTCTAAAAGTAATTGAAGCATTCAAATACTCCATATAGATCAGGGGTGTCCAACTGGATTTCTTCGAGGGCCAGATCAGCAATTTAGTTCTCCTCCATGGGCCAGCGAGGGGTGGGGGGCAGTGGGGGTGGGTGGGATGGATGCCTCCTGCACCACCCTGCTGGCCAGAGTGGGGTGTGGGCGATCTGCACCTCATTTTTACACTCCATGGCCTCTTGCAGCATTCTGCTGGCCGTTTTCGGCCCAGTTTTCAGCCCGTTTACAGAGCCTTTTTTGGGCCAATTTTTGGGCCGTTTTCCAAGCCTTTTTCAGCTGGCAGAGTGCTACAGGAGGCCATGGAGGGTGAAGCCGCCAGAGGCCCCACAGGCCAGTCTTTTGATATTTCCAGGCCATCCCTGCAGGCCAGATTTAAGCACCCTGTGGGCCGGATTTGGCCCACAGGCCTTGAGTGATATAGATGCTAGAATGGTCTGGGCTATTTAGCATGAAGTAGAGTTTGTAAATTTCCTTCTAGGCACTGCATCTGATGACCATTATTAAATGTTTTGACATTTTGGTTTGAAATGATAATTTAAGAAGCACCAGTTGAAGTATGGCAGGAGCCTCAGTTTAATATAGCATACCCTAATATGGCATAGACACTTCCAACCATGATTTAGCCTCAGTTTGCCAATCCTCAGCTCAGGAAGAAATGCTAAAAACTATTTTTGCTGAGTTTCTTCTATAGCACCAAGTTAATCAATTCAGTTTACAGGGATGTAGGAAGGGGGGATGATTCTGAACTTAAACTGGAACAGGCTTTGT